GAAATCACCACAAAGTACATTACTATCAATCAAAGACAAACACTGCATAATCAATCAAGGAAAAAGTCTATAAGTTCAAAGATTCTTGAATTTCCATTCTCTGGGGTGACACTGTCATGCAATTCCCTCTTGAACATTTCAGTTGTGTCTGAATATAGTCGAGGACTGTGATACATCTTCCACTCCATCTCTCACTACCCATCATGCCCTTCTGTCCAGTAGATTAACAAATATATACATGCCCCATCACCAGACATGTCAATGTCATGCCAGGAGATGGGTAATGTCTATGTCATGCCAGGAGATGGGTAATGTCATTGTCATGCCAGGAGATGGGTAATGTCATTGTCATGCCAGTACATAGGTAATGTCTATGTCATGCCAGGAGATGGGTAATGTCAATGTCATGCCAGGAGATGGGTAATGTCATTGTCATGCCAGGAGATGGGTAATTTCATTGTCATGCCAGGAGATGGGTAATGTCATTGTCATGCCAGAAGATGGGTAATGTCATTGTCATGCCAGGAGATGGGTAATGTCATTGTCATGCCAAGAGATGGGTAATGTCAATGTCATGCCAGGAGATGGGTAATGTCATTGTCATGCCAGGAGATGGGTAATGTCAATGTCATGCCAGGAGATGGGTAATGTCAATGTCATGCCAGGAGATGGGTAATGTCAATGTCATGCCAGGAGATTGGTAATGTCAATGTCATGCCAGGAGATGGGTAATGTCAATGTCATGCCAGGAGATGGGTAATATCAATGTCATGCCAGGAGATGGGTAATGTCAATGTCATGCCAGGAGATGGGTAATGTCATTGTCATGCCAGGATATGGGTAATGTCAATGTCATGCCAGGAGATGGGTAATGTCAATGTCATGCCAGGAGATGGGTAATGTCAATGTCATGACAGAAGATGGGTTTATTCAATGTCATGCCAGGAGATGGGTAATGTCAATGTCATGACAGAAGATGAGTTTATTCAATGTCATGACAGAAGATGGGTTTATTCAATGTCATGACAGAAGATGAGTTTAATCAATGTCATGACAGAACATGGGTTTAATCAATGTCATGACATAAGATGGGTTTAATCAATGTCATGACAGAAGATGGGTTTATTCAATGTCATGACAGAAGATGGGCTTAATCAATGTCATGACAGAAAATGAGTTTATTCAATGTCATGACAGAAGATGGGTTTATTCAATGTCATGACAGAAGATGGGTTTATTCAATGTCATGACAGAAGATGGGTTTATTCAATGTCATGACAGAAGATGGGTTTATTCAATGTCATGACAGAATATGGGTTTATTCAATGTCATGACAGAATATGGGTTTATTCACTGTCATGACAGTAGATGGGTCAAGAAGATATACAAAGTTCCTCAAGTTTGTCCATTTTCCAAAGGTTACAGAAACCTGATTTATTTTACTGATTTGTGTCAAGTAAAATAATCTGCTCAGTTGACTCAAGTTTTTGTGGACATACCTATAGGATATCATGTAATGTCCACAACAAAATATTTCACTTTTACACAATTTCTTCTATGGGAGGCTCGGAACACTCCAATCAACTCTCATACTTCCCTTCCAATTTATTTTAAAAAGAAGAAATCTGTTCCACATTAAGATAAATACATACCTCGACTCCCCATGCTTCCTTACAGGCTTAGATGGAAATGGGAAACTTGGGATTCCCACAGCAAACAAATGTAATAATCTTTTTGTTCAATTATAGCAAGTAAAAGCTGGTATTTTACATTAATCTTCTCAAAGTTATCAGTTGGAGCTGAAACTTGGTGTTTTCTAGAACTAAACCAATCACCTTTCTGATCACTGAGCAGCATTATATATCGCAACATGAACCTACTGCCTCCATGAGATTAATTCAAGAGTTTAACAGTTGCGTTACAGATACAATACTTGATTTATGTCTTGTTATTAATTAAAGTAAGTGATTGTGGTTACATTGATCAATAGACTTGGTTTGATTTCAAGATATTTGTTTGTCAACATGCACCCAACATGATTAAAGTTCCAACTTAAATTCTCTGGGGAACTGTTATCTCGATTTTTTTCATACTTTGATTTAAAAGAATAAACAAGAGAGACATTTCAGATTTTGTTCCGTTCTTCAAAAACTTATCTGAATATCTTCCCATGAATACATTCATTCTTCACAATAAAAAGAAATAACGCTTTTCAGAAATATTTTGTCCACCTTTAAATTTTACTATTTGTTAATCGGAAAACTATTTCTTAAAGAAATATACAAAATTTCTGAAGAAAAATCAATATATGGATGAATTAAGAATTGACTTCAATATGTTTTGCTTTTCTTGAAGTATAGAAGTGAAAGATTGTGTGTATAAAGTGTGCACACTGTTTTTTACATCTATAACCAACATAACACAATATATATTAAAGTCAATTCTCATAAATTAATGTCAACAATAAAACGTTTTAGATTGCTTATACAATCATCAACACTCAAAACTGTCGACAACAATAAGAAATTAATGCCATTGTTTACAGCAATAATCCAAACCAAGCCCCTCCCTTGTTACCGTCAGTCAATCAGGACACGGCAGTCCTTTACCGGGCACAGCCTAATCTTTTTCAGTTTATGGAAAAAAAATGCCAAACGATTTGCTTGGTGAACCAATCAATGTCACTTATTTATTGAGAACATATGTGAAAATGTCCATGCAAACCAAACTCAGGATCACCAGCAGACAGTTTGACCATATATAAAACATAATAAGTTTGGCCTGTTGCGTCTTTACCGTCCAGTCAACGTTGGAGCGGTGGACAGTTGGACCATAAATATAACATAATATGTGTGGCATGTTGCGTCCTTACCGTCCAGTCAACGTTGGAGCGGTGGACAGTTGGACCATAAATATAACATAATATGTGTGGCATGTTGCGTCCTTACCGTCCAGTCAACGTTGGAGCGGTGGACAGTTGGACCATAAATATAACATAATATGTGTGGCATGTTGCGTCCTTACCGTTCAGTCAACGTTGGAGCGGTGGACAGTTGGACCATAAATATAACATAATATGTGTGGCATGTTGCTTCCTTACCGTCCAGTCAACGTTGGAGCGGTGGACAGTTGGACCATAAATATAACATAATATGTGTGGCATGTTGCGTCCTTACCGTTCAGTCAACGTTGGAGCGGTGGACAGTTGGACCATAAATATAACATAATATGTGTGGCATGTTGCGTCCTTACCGTCCAGTCAACGTTGGAGCGGTGGACAGTTGGACCATAAATATAACATAATATGTGTGGCATGTTGCTTCCTTACCGTCCAGTCAACGTTGGAGCGGTGGACAGTTGGACCATAAATATAACATAATATGTGTGGCATGTTGCGTCCTTACCGTCCAGTCAACGTTGGAGCGGTGGACAGTTGGACCATAAATATAACATAATATGTGTGGCATGTTGCGTCCTTACCGTCCAGTCAACGTTGGAGCGGTGGACAGTTGGACCATAAATATAACATAATATGTGTGGCATGTTGCATTCTTACCGTTCAGTCAACGTTGGAGCGGTGGACAGTTGGACCATAAATATAACATAATATGTGTGGCATGTTGCTTCCTTACCGTCCAGTCAACGTTGGAGCGGTGGACAGTTGGACCATAAATATAACATAATATGTGTGGCATGTTGCGTCCTTACCGTTCAGTCAACGTTGGAGCGGTGGACAGTTGGACCATAAATATAACATAATATGTGTGGCATGTTGCGTCCTTACCGTCCAGTCAACGTTGGAGCGGTGGACAGTTGGACCATAAATATAACATAATATGTGTGGCATGTTGCGTCCTTACCGTCCAGTCAACGTTGGAGCGGTGGACAGTTGGACCATAAATATAACATAATATGTGTGGCATGTTGCGTCCTTACCGTCCAGTCAACGTTGGAGCGGTGGACAGTTGGACCATAAATATAACATAATATGTGTGGCATGTTGCTTCCTTACCGTCCAGTCAACGTTGGAGCGGTGGACAGTTGGACCATAAATATAACATAATATGTGTGGCATGTTGCGTCCTTACCGTTCAGTCAACGTTGGAGCGGTGGACAGTTGGACCATAAATATAACATAATATGTGTGGCATGTTGCGTCCTTACCGCCCAGTCAACGTTGGAGCGGTGGACAGTTGGACCATAAATATAACATAATATGTGTGGCATGTTGCTTCCTTACCGTCCAGTCAACGTTGGAGCGGTGGACAGTTGGTCCATAAATATAACATAATATGTGTGGCATGTTGCGTCCTTACCGTCCAGTCAACGTTGGAGCGGTGGACAGTTGGACCATAAATATAACATAATATGTGTGGCATGTTGCGTCCTTACCGTCCAGTCAACGTTGGAGCGGTGGACAGTTGGACCATAAATATAACATAATATGTGTGGCATGTTGCGTCCTTACCGTCCAGTCAACGTTGGAGCGGTGGACAGTTGGACCATAAATATAACATAATATGTGTGGCATGTTGCGTCTTTACCGTCCAGTCAACGTTGGAGCGGTGGACAGTTTGACCATATATATAACATAATATGTGTGGCATGTTGCGTCCTTACCGTCCAGTCAACGTTGGAGCGGTGGACAGTTGGACCATAAATATAACATAATATGTGTGGCATGTTGCGTCCTTACCGTCCAGTCAACGTTGGAGCGGTGGACAGTTGGACCATAAATATAACATAATATGTGTGGCATGTTGCGTCCTTACCGTCCAGTCAACGTTGGAGCGGTGGACAGTTGGACCATAAATATAACATAATATGTGTGGCATGTTGCGTCCTTACCGTCCAGTCAACGTTGGAGCGGTGGACAGTTGGACCATATATAAAACATGATATGTGTGGCATGTTGCTTCCTTACCGTCCAGTCAACGTTGGAGCGGTGGACAGTTGGACCATAAATATAACATAATATGTGTGGCATGTTGCGTCCTTACCGTCCAGTCAACGTTGGAGCGTAGCTCTCTCTTCTTGTAGCCATACTCCGCATGACTCGGATGCAGGTAGTTTGTATGACTGAAGGTACTCTTGGCAATTGCTTTTCTGGAAAAAAACAAAATAATAATCACTTGTCATTTTCAACAAGCACATCAAAAAGATTAAAAGAATCTGATACCGGGCGCCAATTCACACTAACTAGGAGAATCAATCACCAAACCACGTTCAACACAACAACTGTGATACAGATGTAATCCCTTTTTCTTCTGAACTTTTTCTACTTCTTCTCAACATGATCAATTACTGACCATTTTTTCCCAGCCTGTTCAACAATGGGTGTCTCCAAGGCCTTGGACAATGAGACAGAATCAATGGGCATGGGACAGTATTTTTGTGCAATCGCATTACGGGCTAACCCATCTGTAAATAAAAATTCTAAAATTAACATCTTTTTAAGTACAATGCATAGTTTCGTAATGTGAGCATTGTTCGTCAACAAAGGTGTTTACTTCCATCAAGAATTACATTTCAATCATGCATTAAAGTGGCAACGACCAAATTAACTTGATAATACAACTAGATAATGACACACTTGGCAGTCAATACCAGAAAACATTTTCATCTCATGGTACAGGAATTCCAATACTTTGTTCCAGAGGGCAAAATAGTTATACAATGAACCACTTAAATAAACAGCCTATTAATAATTCAACTAAGATACAACTACAAAATGATGCATTTGGCATTCAATACCAGAATACGTTTCCATCTCATGGTACAGAAATTCCACCACATCGTTCCAGAAAGTAAACGAATAATTACAATGAACTACTTAAAATATCCAGGCAACTAACAACAGATGTTTAGATTGTCTCACATTACTTTGATCTCTTAGATCGCACACTGCTACCAGTCATGAGTGAAAACACCAGGTGTTAAATAATACCATAGACGTCCACTCCTAAATCAGCATTGATGCCTAGTATTGGAACAGATGGCAGAATGTTCCTATGTCCCCGTGAGGAAACAGTTTCAGTGAAAACACAAACCCTGATGTTGAGCCAGAGGAAACATTTCTTCCCCATGGAAGTGTTTCAGATGGTCTTATGATAAAAATATGTTTTACAAATCAGTAGGTGATGCAACAGACGTTAGACTGCCTTGGATTACCCACAATTCCTGTTTTAACTTCCGCCTTCCACTTCTCCGAAGTCATTTAGCAAAGTTTATGGAGTGCTGATGTTACACAAAATCTGGACCTGTGAAAATCTGGGTTAGAATTGGTTTTCAGCAACCCAGGAACATATTGGTTGGTCAGGCTCGCTGACTTGGTTGATGCATGTCATCATATCCCAATTGTGTAGATCGATGCATATGATGTCAATCTGTGGATTGTCTGGTCCAGACTTGATTATTTACAGAACACCATCATTTAGCTGGAATATTGCTGAGTGCAGTGTTAACCCCCTGGATGCCAGAGGGACATATATGTCCCTCCTCTACAGCCCTCACTTTGAAGTCGAATAAAATTCAAAATACATCACCCACACAACTACACTTTACAGTTTTGAATAAGGTGTGAAATTCCCTGTTCTGTGATATCATCCACTGGCATTTTAGGCCAAGCAAAAGTACTGAACATGACCTCTGAAAATTAGGTACATCGTAAATGTCGCCATTTTTTACACATAACTAAATCACCACTGGGGGTTAAACAACAAACAAACAAACAAACAAACAAACAAACAAACAAACAAACAAACACTCTTCGTGGCGGGGGTAATAAATACGTTGGTTGAAGTTTACTGTCAAGCCATGAACCGTACACAAAACCCTGTTTCATCAATAAGGAATAAATATGTGCAAATGCCTTCCTAGGCAAGACCTGAGAGACCGTTTCAGAACAGACAAGCTCTCTTTCACAATAACTCAACAATTTTGGGTCCCTCAAGTGTAATCAAACACATTCCATAGCATTTCTGAAGAAACATAGTAACAAAAGAATTCTTAACTCTTGTGTTTTCATCAAATGTTATATCTGACCATCTTTACAGCAAGGCTTGGCGCATGCACATTTCCTTCACCCAGGACAGATAATCCATACGACCTCCCAGTTTATTGGATATTCTCTATTTGCACCATAAACTGAAGTGCTGATGTTGACTGTGTCGTGTCCGTGGTAAACTATGGGCTACAAAGTGGGTGGTGTTGGAGGACAGCCCACAGCGACAACATTTACAACTTCGGTGCAACCCAGCAGTAAATGGGTACGCAGGAGTATGAGATGAGAAGTGACCGGTAACATTTTAGGGGATGCTACAACAGGTACAGTCTTTGTTCTAGAAATACTCAAAAGTAATAATATTGCCAAACTATTTCTTACCAAAAAATATTCCACCCTGGAACTGCTTTTGAGAATATAGAAAGAGCTATTGGGAATCACTGAATCTCTATCTGAGCAGTGCAAGCCTATTGCACATTTATTAAGTAATTGAAAGTAGTTAATTCTTTTTTATTAGTCATTGTCATTTTATGAAAGCAAAAACAAGTAAAATGCATGACTATAATTCCTTCAGAAAAAGTCAACTGACGTCAGCCTTATGTTCAGATCCTGCAATAATACGGTACAAGGAAATTCCTGTGAATCCTGATGTAATCCATCTTCCTTTCATTCTCCTCCCTCCCTCCTTCCTTCTCATATATTATTCACGAAAAAAACCCACAAAAACCTCCTCGCCATCCTACATCTGAGGGAGGATTCGGAGACGATGTATTGATTTTTAATAAACATGTCATTATCCCACTTAGCTGTACAAGAAACTTCCATAAGACTCTTAATAAGAAACAACAACCTTCCCTGTAAGTCTCAACATGAGAATCTCCCTCACCGTCAGTGGTATAAGCTCTGATCAACCCGACCCCGAGCCTCATTAACCAGGCTAGAGCAGAACATGGCAAGAAGACACAGCACACCACACAGAACAATGGTTCATCTGACCAGACAGAAAGGGAAACATTAATTTAACCACAAAGAGAAACATTAGTTGAACCAGAAGGAGAAACATTAATTTAACCAGACAGAGCAACATTTCATTCGATTAGAAAGGTAAACGTTTAATTGAATCAGAGGAGCATTTCATTGAATCAGAGGAACATTTCATTGAACCAGAAGAACATTTCATTGAACCAGGGGAACATTTCATTGAACCAGAGGAACATTTCATTGAACCAGAGGAACATTTCATTCCACCAGACAGAGAAACATTTCTTTCAACCACACAAATGACGCTTCATTAAATCAGAACCCTCATCAGTGAAAATCAGAATTGGTCTTCAGCAGCCCATGCTTGTCGTAAGAGGCGACTAACACGGTCAGATGTCAGGCTCACTGACTTGGTTGATGCATGTCCTTGTATACCAAATGTGTAGATCAATGCTCAACATGTCAATAACTGGATTGTCTGGTCCAGACTCAATTAGTTGGATTATTACTGATTGTGGCATCAAAGAAAATACAAACATTAAGCCAGACATTTCCTTAAACTAAAAAAGGAACATAACATGGAAAGGGTTAACTTTGCTTTCATGACATATGTCAGTGTTATTGTGCTCGCCCATTGAGATACCCATGCCATAGTTTTACATGGATTCCCCACTGTGACAGACACAGTATACTCTGAGCCGACCAGTCCTTGTTTGTTCCCCTTTATGCAAAGTGCCAGGCAGGGTAACAACAAGTAGAATTTCTTAAACATCTCTTGCTATGACATGGCCGTGGATCGAAACACTGACCCTCAAGTCTTTGGGCTGACGCTCTATCCACTACACCATGTAGGTGGTCTTATGTGTCTCCACAGGTGTAATGAGGTCAGAACAGCTCCCAACCTCCCCATAGGGATTTCAGGGTCAGAACTGGTCCAAAGACCCACATGCTAACTAGAACTGGGATAGTACACCGATGTATTGGTGGATCACAATTTTCCACTGCTCGATATAAGTAGTGATCACAGTCACACACAAAGTAAAAAATATCCATTCTTGCGTTAAATGTTCGCTTCAATAACTGTTACAGCAAACACTAATTAGTAGTGAAAATTAGAAGTGAAAATTAGTAGTGAAAATTAGAAGTGAAAATGGAAATATTTTACTCCATTGCGCAATACTTGACACTGCCAAATGTAAATTGTCAGTGGGCCAGGTACTTGGCCATTCTATGAAAAGGAGGGTCATGCACCACAAATAACAGCATATACAAGGATTGTAAAACGAATCGGATCGTGAGCAAGGTATCGTGTTATGTATCGGATCTCACAGTTGGAGTATTGTCCCAGCCCTAAGTTGCAACTAAAGTGAGAATCAGGTCGTCACAATGCGTGACCTGGCTCATGGTGGGTAAACATGGCAGTTACCGTTGTTCATGCTGTCAGACTCTGGTTCACCTGGTGCCAAACAAATACAGACAGCTGGGATAAATCAGGAACATTAATGAAAGCAGCACAAAAATAACATTCACTCACTCACTCACTCACTCACTCACTCACTCACTCATTGAAACAGCTGACTCATTAAAGCGAAGGTTAATACAGTAAACCTACAACACGTTACACACAATTTCACTTGCAAATTTGCACCGGCAGCCTATTTCAAATTTGTCGCGATCAAACAGACACCGATTCTCCACCACAGGAAGTGAACACCACAGAGGAAGTCCTAGCAAGAGTAGTGATGATCAACATGATAGCTTCCTGTTCAGGCGTGGGCCTCTACTGTCCATGTTAATCAGTCATAATAGCAAGCTCTCAATACTATCAATCCCAGAATCAATGTGGGCTGATACTGCAGGAATTGACGGTGTTGTCACTAAGACCCTGATTACCCCGATTACTTGTGCTGTTAAATGATGATGTGTAGATGATGAATGTGGCTGGATTCTGTGTCCCACATACCGAGGATGTATTATAGAATTAGTTCATGCTGTCAATAAGATTGATTCTCAGATGTTTTCTGTGACGATCTGCCTGAGGCGGCAGAGTGGGTGATGGATAGGTTTTAGTGACAGAAATGTAATGCTGAAGAGGTATTGATGGAGTTGATACTGTTACTGT